AATCTACTTGTTATCTGCTGTAAGAAAGACTTTTGAAACATTACTAATTTATCTATTTTTGTAAGTTAATTTTTATTTTACTATATGATTAATCTAATATATTTTATACATTCATATTAATATAAGTTTATTGTGAATCTCTTAGTGAATGTCCTTGATTATATTTATGGCAGGTTTTCAAATTATCATCTGAAAGACTATTTCTCCGGTACTGAATCATAAGTTGTAGATATTGTGTAAATTATAGTTTTTGAATTAAAAAATAAAAAGTTAATTTCTTAAATTAGTATATAAATTACCAAAATTCCAATATGCAATTAATAGAATTGATCCGGCAAATAGTAGTATACCAATAACTACAAAGAAATAAACTATAGGTTCAATAACCTTTCACATCTTAAAATAATAAGTTGTCACATACCAATAACACTACCAAAAATTGATCTTTTCATGATCAAGTTGCTTTTGTCAAATTGTTTAATTTTTCAACTATTTATTTGTCTAAACCAATAATAAGATGAATACTTAAAATAATTACAAACTTAGATAACAGTAATATTTAACAAAACTTATTAAACTATTTCATACATTAACCGTATTAAACATCACTTTTTAACTGAGTTATTTTCTGCAATTATACGTCTAATTAATAATACACAAAGCTCATATCATAATTTAACCAATAAACATGGTATTAAACAATAATATTAAATATTATAAGCAAATTATAACAAATATATTTAATATTTGTATTTTGATATTGACTGCAAATATTTTGCATAGAGCTATGCTATTACTGTAATAGCCTTGTCTTGTCTCTGCATTTCCACATATTTGTAAAAAATAAGTTTCTGAACATTATTGTCGCCTCTGTTTGACAAACTAGTTAACTAGTTAGACGTCAGTATAACTAGTTATGCTAATTTAAGCTCGTTTAATAAATCAAATCAAATTTATTACTCAATTAGGTTTCATTCAATGAACATATTTTCCTTTATTACTAAAACTTTTTAAAGCATTAAAAGAGTCTGGATATGCCTTAAAATTAATAAACTTGATAGCATTAAAACACCTGGACACAATGGTCGGCAACATGGCACCTATTGCCGGCATCCTTGCGAATATAGATGAACCCGCCGTCTCCCCAGTCGCGGCCCCACGAGTTCTTCACAATCCAATACCTCATATCCGAGGGCTTGTCATATCCATAGCCCACCACAAGTACCGCGTGATTGATATCTCCATCGCAGGGGCCGTCGAATATGCCCTGTCTATAACTGAAAAACGGTTCGGACACAATTATGGCTATAGTGGACGGGCCGCGTGTACGACCACAACAGCCGGACCGTTATCGCGCACAAGACTCATGAAAGTGTTTTCGTTTCTAGGATAGTCTTCTCTCTGTTCTCCAATGGTTACCACAGGTTTCGCCTCCCTTTCCCGATCACATGTACCTTTCTATTGAAAAATACACACTCGTTATTAGATGAATATACAAGACAATATTCAAATACGATGTCTTAAGCTTTTTATGATTTTAGTATAGTTTAGTTAAATAAAATTATAATATTTTCGTTTAAAGAAATCAACAAGTTCAGGCAAAAGTTCAATTGTGGGCACTTCAATGAACATCCAATGTTAGCTGTCCTTAAGAGACTTTTTTGACTGTATATTATTACTTTAGTATAACTGATTACTAAAGGTATGAAAGCTTTAATTTTATGATTATAAAGCAGTATATAATTACAACTGTACTATTGGTTACCTTGGCAGTATAAGGATAGTTTTTCCATGATGTCAAACCAACTTTTTGAATGTAAGGTACAATTTGGCGCAAACCCGTCATATTCACTCCTTTTTCATAGGTAACCATAGGATAACAGTCGAGCATTTGTTGAGTGCTAAGAGTGGTGACTCCGTGGCCACTACGGGCCCAATAACTTTCTACCAGTGCTGCCATTGCGAACAAGGAACAGGATCCACAATTTTCCTGAATATATAAAATTGCATACTAATGTATAACATTAAATCTTAATAAAATCAATTAGTATTTGAACTGTACAAAAAAATTTGTACAAGTCTATAAAAGTTACCTGTATGGTCATCCAATTGTTTACCGCATAATGAGCATATAACATTGTTTTTAATATATTGTAAAATTCAAAATAAAATATCACCTACAACACTTTCCAATGTAAATATGCAATATGTAAAATTGTACCTGATCCTGCACAGGTCCAATTACTCCTTGATCTCGCCAATCGACTGACCAGCTCTTATCGTCGGTGTGGGAGTCATCAGAAGCCGAGTTAGACTTATAGTAAGCAATGGGTCGGTTCATTACGAACGTGCAATTCGTGTGTGTCTTTCTAAACTCCTCAGGAGTCAAATCCGCGAACCCACTGACCCGTAATGTATACGAATACTTGCCGTCCAGAGCTTTCAAGTTGTGTCCGTACACTCGCAACAGGTTGTCCCGGAATATGTGTTCCCTCTGGCGGTCCACTTCGCTTGATTTATACGATATACTGAATTCGTACTTAAATTCTTTGAAAGCATTCTCTAAATTCTGCTTATCGTCCAAATATTCCTTTCAAATGAAAATAGTTTACATAAACTCCATATACATGTGAAACGGAAATTATAGTACTTTAAAATCATCATATGTTTTATTAATGGTGCGAGGTGATTTTAGTAATTTGCCTTGCAAGAAATCGCCAAACGGTGCGTACGGGTTGTCCTTATCACCTTGGTTAATAACACCTGTATGCATTTTTAATTATAAGTTATAGATATAATTTAAATTATAGTTTTAAATTAAAAAATATGGAAGTTACTAATTTCATATATTGTAATATAAATTACCAAAATGCCAATATGCTAGTGCAATTAATCCAGCAATTACTAGAATACCAATAACTATAAAGAAATAAACTATTAATTAAATAACCTTTCACAATTTTAAAACAATATCACACACCAATAACACTACCAAAAACTGCTCTTTTCATTATCAAATTGTTTAATTATTATCAAGCACAATTTAGAACCGATATTAATTCTACAAAATAAAATGCAAACTTAAAATGATAAGTTATCATTGATAACAGTAATATTTAACAAGATTTATTAAACTATTTCATACATTAATACAGTAATAAACAACACTTTATAATAGAGTTATTTCCTGCAATTATATCACGTCTAAGTAATAATACACTTATAATATGAATCATAATCATTAAAAGATAAACATGGTATTAAAGTTTAAGAATCAAACAATAATATTTGCGCAAATTTATTGAATATTTTATTTTTGTATTGACTGCAAATATTTTGAAGACATAACTATACTGTATGTCTGTATGCTATTACTGGCCTCGTCTCTGCATTTCCACATATTTTGTTACAAATAAAAAAGTTTCTGAACATTATTGTCGCCTATGTTTGACAAACAGACAGTAATAACAAGTTATGCTAATTTAAATCAAACATTTATTACTCAATTAGGTTTCATTCAAAGAACATATTTTCCTTTATTACTAAAACTTTTTAAAACATTACAAGATATGCCTCAAAATTAATAAACTTTATATCATTAAAACACCTGGACACAATGGTCGGCAACATGGCACCTATTGCCGGCATCCTTGCGCATATAGATGCTAGTTTAAAAAATCTTTACTTGTTCATATTTCTTGTTAAGCTCTAATCACCTAAATTATTAGCACTGAATCTACTTGTTATCTGCTGTAAGAAAGTAAATGCTAAACACAGTCATATGATTTGTATTCAGATTCAGATTTTAAACAATTTATGTTTGATAAACTAATTAATGCTTAATGTATGCTATTGAACAGTACTATTAATTTTATAACAAATTATAATATAGTAGTTGAATATGGTTGTGAGCCAGCTCATTTAACATGTTTTCAGATTCATATACTTTTAATGAGAGTGAATGGCAATAATGATAGACACAAACAATGCGGTCAAAGTGGAACCCGGAGACTGACCAGTGTTGTACTAGCGAACAAAACTGTAGTCAACAAAATGAACTAGCTAATTTGTTTTATTAAATACTTACCGGCAGTTGGTATGAAAATTGGAACAGGGGACACTTTGTGATGGTGTTACGATGCAACCGCATGTAACCTCCTTCACCCCACGTGTCACCCCAAGAGTTCTTGAGGATCCAGTAATGTCTGTCCAGCTCTTTATCATATCCGTAACCGACCACAAGAACCGCGTGACTATAAGCACCTCCCACCCGCTCGCCCTCACACTGGTGGGTGAGCACTCCCTGGCCGTATATGCGCCAGTCAATGCCCACGTGTACGACCACGAAAGCCGGACCGTTATCGCGCACGAGACTCATGAGCGAGTCTTGGCTTTCAGGATAGTTTACACTCACTTCTCCTATTGTCGCCACTCGTTTCGACTCCCTGTCCCGATCACATACACCTTTCTATTGGATAATACGCACTCGTTGTTAGATGACAAGACAATAAAGAAATATGATATGTTTTAAGCATTTTATGATCATTTAAGTAATTTTGTAAAGTAGTAAGTTTAGTTAAAATATTTTTTAACAGTTTAACTAAATCAACAGGGCTCTTCCATGCTCTCAAATTTCATATTTTATAGGTTAGTTCAAGTCTAAAAGTTCATTTGTGAAACTTAATTTTATGATTATAAACAATATATTATTTCTACTGTGTTATTGATTACCTTGGCAGTATAAGGATAGTTTTTCCATGATGTCAAACCATTTGTTTGAATGTAGGATAAAATTGGGCGAGCACATACTCCTTCACAGGAAGCGTTACGGTAACAGTCGAGCATTTGTTGAGTGCTAAGTGTGGTGACTCCATGGCCACTACGGGCCCAATAACTCTCTACCAGTGCTGCCATTGCGAACAATGTACAGGATCCACAACTACCCTGAATATAAAAATTACACTACTGACTACTGATACAGTATACATTAATATTGTATATCATTAAATCTTTACAGTCAATCAATTACAGTAGTATTTGAACTAAAAAGTAAATATCCAAATCTATAAAATTCACTTGTACATATCGTCCTACAAATGTTTAAATTGTTTTATATAATTATTTTTACCATAATAAATTCAAAATAAAATATCATATTCCATTATTAATATTATACAGTATATTAAATTGTACCTGATCCTGCACAGGTCCAATTACTCCTTGATCGCGCCAATCGACAGACCAGCTCTTATCGCCGGTGTGGGAGTCAACAGAAGCCGAGTTAGACTTATAGTAAGCAATGGGTCGGTTCATTACGAACGTGCAATTCGTGTGATTCTGTCTAAACTCCTGAGGAGTCAAATCCGCGAACCTACTGACCCGTAATGTATACGAATACGTGCCGTCCAGAGCTTTCAGGTTGTGTCCGTACACTCGCAACATGTTGTCCCGGAATATCTGTTCCTTCCGACGGTCCTCTTCACTCGATTCATACAGTTTGTAGAATTCGTACTTAAATTCATTGAAAGCATTCTCTAAATTCTGCTTATCGTCCAAATATTCCTTTCAAATGAAAATAGTTTACATAAACTTTAGAAATAAGTCAAAAATAAATTATATATGGATATTATACTTTAAAATCATCATATGTTTTATCAATGGTGCGAGATGATTTTAGTAATTTTCCTTGCAAGAAATCGCCAAACGGTGAGTAAGGGTTGTACTTATCACCTTGGTTAATAATTTGCATTTTTAATCATAAGTTGCAGATATTGTGTAAATTATAGTTTTTGAATTAAAAAATAAAAAGTTAATTTCTTATATTGTAATATAAATTACCAAAATGCCAATATGCTAGTGCAATTAATCCAGCAATCACTAGAATACCAATAACTATAAAGAAATAAACTATTAATTAAATAACCTTTCACAATTTTTAAAAAATATCACATACTACCTGTAATACTACCAAACACTGCTCTTTTCATTGTCAAATTGTTTAATTATTCAAGCACAATTTAGAACCGATATTAATTCTGCAAAATAAAATGCATACTTAAAATGATTACATAGATAACAGTAATATTTAACAAAATTTATTAAAAATTTTATACATTGATCGTAATAAACAACACTTTATAATTGAGTTATTTTCTGCAATTATATCACGTCTAAGTAATAATACACTACTGGATGTTCATAATCTTTAAACTATAAACATAGTATTAAAGTTTAATAATTAAACAATAATATTTACGCAAATTATAACCAAATCTATTGAATATTTTAATTTTTGTATAGACTGCAAATATTCTGCAGACATATACTGTAGCTATTTTATTACTGGCCTTGTCTCTGCATTTCCACACATTTTGTAAAAAATAAAAAAGTTTCTGAACATTATTGTCGCCTATGTTTGACAAACAGACAGTAATAACAAGTTATGCTAATTTAAATCAAACATTTATTACTCATTAGGTTTCATTCAAAGAACATATTTTCCTTTATTACTAAAACTTTTTAAAACATTACAAGAGTCTGGATATGCCTTAAAATTAATAAACTTGATAGCATTAAAACACCTGGACACAATGGTCGGCAACATGGCACCTATTGCCGGCATCCTTGCGCATATAGATGAACCCGCCGTCTCCCCAATCGCCGCCCCACGAGTTCTTCACAATACAATACCTCATATCTTACAAAATACTTGTAAAGCATTTTTATTAGCAATAATCAAAAATAGGCTCATTTATTGAATAATTAGAAACCTGGATAAAGAGTTGACAATCAGGGATCCCAGATGCTAGTTTTGAAAATCTTTACTTGTTTATATTTATTATTATGCAACTAAATTATTAGTACTGAATCTACTTGTTATCTGCTGTAAGAAAGTAAATGCTAAACACAGTCATATGATTTGTATTCAGTTCCAGATTTCAAACAATTTATGTTTGATAAAATGCTTAATGTATGTTATTGTACTGTACTATTAATTTTATAACAAATTATAATACAGTTGTTGAATATGGTTGTGAGCCAGCTCAGTTAACATGTTTTCAGATTCATATACTTTTAAAGAGAGTGAATGGCAATAATGACACAAACAATGCGGTCAAAGTTGGAACCGGAGACTGACCAGTGTTGTACTAACAAACAAAAATGTATTAAACAAAATGAACATTTACTTTATTTTATTAAATATTTACCGGCAGTTGGAATGATATCTCAAACAGTGGACACTTGGTGGTGGGGTTACGAGGCAACCGTATGTAACCCCTTCACCCAGTAGTCGTCTCCGTAAGAGTTCTTGACGATCCAGTAGTGTCTGTCCAGCTCTTTATCATATCCGTAACCGACCACAAGAACTGTGTGCTCGCAATCATTTAACTGCATGCGAGTGGCCTCACACGGGTGGCTGAGCACTCCCTCGCCGTATATCTATTCAATAATTTAATTATTGACTCAATTTTACTAGTGTATAACCAGCGTATAATAACTAGTCAAGTAAAACTGATTAATATCCGTGAATTTTACATTAACTAGAATAAAAATAATTTTTTATATAGATGTTGTAATTTTCGGGATTATGTATTTCGGGATTTTGATTGTCGGGATTTCTATGTACTCCCGTAACTGATCCTGCACAGGTCCATTTACTCCTTGATGGGGCCAATCGACTGACCCGCTCTTATCGCCGGTGTGGGACTCATTGTGAGCTATGGGTCGGTTCAGTGCGAACGGACAACGCGTGTGATTCTGTCTAAACTCGTCAGGAGTCAAATCCGCGTCCACACC